GGTGCATGCGAATTGAGAAATATTTGCAATTTAGCAAAATACACCCGGAAGCGATTCCGGATTGAAGCTTGAGTTGCGCTGCCGCTTGCCGCATTTCACTTTTTGCAATTTCGATTTCGTATTCATATTTGTGTGTTTGGCTTTTTCCAATCGTATTTGGACTCAGCTTTCAACACGCCCGAAGTGCGTGCGGAATGACGGCAATTAAGGTTATATGCAGGTTTGATATATGCGTTTTGCAGTCGATTCTCTCAGGTGGAAAAGAAAGAATTTTCATTTATTGTAAATATTTTTCTAGTAAAATGATACGTTTCGAAACTGAGAGCATTCAAAAACTGGTAAAATGAAATACCTTAAAGTTAATAGAACTAGGGAAAATTCTCTTCAATCACAATCTGAATTTTAACAAGTGTGATTTTATACTAGTGTTGTATACCAGTTTTAAAAATCAATACGAAATATGAAATAAACAAATATCAACAATACGGCAGTTAATGCATTAAAAGCTTCTGACTTAAATTATTATATCCTGGAAAGGTATAAAAATAATATAGAATATGAATAAAATATAGGGAAAATATTAAAAACAGAAGCTGCTTTTCGGGGCGATAATATGTAGCCATGTTCATACAAAGCTTTTTGATGAAATTCAGTTTATAAGAAAATATTAATTTTAAAATGGTATAAAATAATAATATATATAATAATATAGTAATATATAATAATAATAATAATAATAATAGAAATAGTTAGTAAAATAGGGCGGAAAGTATATATGTAGTTATATAAAGTTGTATATAGTCTCGCTTGCATTTATTTTTTCCTATTCACAAATTGCCTAGAAATATAAGACCAAACAAACAGCGTTTTGGACAAATGTCAAAATGGACAGCCACAAGAGAGGATCGTATCTCTTAAGTTGCTCACTCTTAAGTGCAGGGTGCGAACAAACGATGCAGTAGAAGAAAAAAGTTTGCTTGCGAACCCCCAGAAAATCAAGCATAAAAGAAAAAAGCTAATAGTGTTGTTTCACTCACCCCTTCACATTGCTGTTGCTGCAGATCCACAAACGGCGAATTAGGCGGCGAAACTTACCCACACACATATCCAAATAAAAGCCTTATTTGCAGAGGTACTGGCTCAAACTTCTACATTTTCCTTAACCGCTTACTTACCGCGGTACTTTTTCACATTTGTCGCACTGTGCAGTTTTAACAAAATTCGCCAAGCAAAACGCACTGATCTTGGCAATGTACCTACACATACGCACACACACACACGGTTTGGCTAAGAAAACGAAAACACGACAGCTTCCCGGCTGCCCCCACTTTGCATACACGATTCACTGTGGGGGCTCGCTGTTTTCCCGCACTTTTCACACCTGCCACTGGTTTTCCACGGTTGTTTTCCGTCGTCCTGGCCCTTTGACCACCGCGGTAATCTTCTGCACAGAGAACTTTTCGTTTTTTCGCGTTGTCTTTTCTGCTTCATTTCGCCAGGTGTGGGAGTTGGAGCGATACATCGATCATCCTGAAAGGAAAGTAAACATCGATACGATGTTTTCAACTTGAAGCTCAACATCGATGTATCGATATTGGCAAGTGCAACGTATGAATGTATTTGTTAATCGGATGCAACGACTATCGATGTTTGTAACTGATTTCACGCGACTATCGGGAGAGGCGGAGTTATTGAGTGATGTTGTCGAGAGAGGAGCCATGGCGATGATGGCGAGAGATTGCCACTCTCAGAGTGGCCACGGCCATATTGAAAATATCAGCTGCACGTTCTTTAATTAGTTCCGGTTTTGAGCTTGACGGAAGGAACCATTTTGTGCCTATTTGGTGATCTCTAGCTTGTTCCTCATTTTTCTAATTGGTGTAAATGAAAATAAATAATTTATAAATAAAAGAATTAATAATAAATAATTAATAAATAATAGATTTAATAACAAATAAATACATTTTAACAAATTAAAAAATTTAAAATATGCTATTTTGGTTTATAAAAAATATAAATCTTTTTTATTAATTCAAGATATTACAATTTTAGTGAAAAGATTGATCTGACTTGTATACAAGCCAGATTGGATTACTATATAATATTGCTGTCGTAGAAGAAATCTCAACATTTAAAAAAATATTATAACTTTAATAGTTTTCAATAGACTTTTATATAATTTTCTATATTACCATTTAATATTATTCTGAGAGCAAATCTAAAATATACATTTTTCTGGTGCTACACAAACTGCCAATCAGGAGGTGGTCCGCTCAAATCAATCGTCGGGCGCAGTGATGCAGCAGAGGATAGAATAAAGTATAAATACAATTTGTATGCTTGATGTAATTTCATTTCCACTTATCTTGGTATTTTCTCTGCATTTTGCTTCATGCGATTGATTTATCGCACAGAAAATAATAGGCAGCCAATGTCTGTGCATCCTGCGAAAGGACTCGCCGCTCGCTCGCTCGTCCGCCTTCCCATCCGGTATCCCTGAGCTGAGCCGGGCTCAGTTTATATTCAAATGCTTACGCTTAAATGTCAATAATACGTGAAATTGAACTGCCAATTCAATCTTCGCAACTACTCCGTTCGCTCCTCCACTTCTCGAGCGAAATCATTTCCATATAAGCGTTTTCCCATCTTCCTATTTATATATGTGTATTTCTATTCTTTCCGTTTACCATTTTTGTTATTTTTTTCACTCTCCTTTGTATTTTGAAGCACAAATTCTTTCTGTTCATATGTGGAAAAACTATTTGCAAAAGTCTCAAGTGTGCTCGCTTCCCGGCGACGGCACAGGAGCTGCCAGAGTGTTGGGCCCTGGATTTACGGGGGACTCCTGGGGTGGCGGTGGGGCAGGAGTTGGACCCTTTTAAACGACGCCTGCAAATTGTACGCAGATCGCATTACATTTGCTCCAGCGGACGGCATGTGCAACTGCCGACTGCCGGCTGCCTCTGCGGATTGCTTCACATTCGGATGCACTTCCTCCCCACCGTCCCAGGGTTCGTTCGAAAAAATTGAAAGATTTATTTCTTAGTTCTTTGCGATTACATTTCCACCGAGCTAATGTGTTCCGATCCAACGGCTACGTCGTGGCAGTTTGTCAACTGTCATTGCATCAGACAGTGAATGGCGGACCGGCGACGGGGACCTGGGTATTGAGTGCCGAATACGGGGGTATCGAGGTATCCGGGTATCCGGCATCAGGGCATCGGGGTCCCGGATCGGGGGAGACTTGTCGCATTTTGTTGACAACTACATTGCAAATACGGCAAAGTAATCAGCATTGTGTAAATAACAAGTTATGTGTCTGCGAGTGCAGCTGACAAAGCGAGTGGTAAGCGATATGCAATCAGGCAAAAATAAATCGCTGAAAGGGCTTCCAAGACGATAGCATTGAATATGGGGTTAGGAAAATAGTAGAATCGTGAATATGTTATTATCCACGCATTGTTGCGTGCTTTTCCCCGCGCACCGGAAATAATTGAATATTGACTAAGGTCAGCAGGTAAGCGCCTTAACTTAAAAGGCAAAAAAATGGAACGTAAAAACAGCTGCATCTATGCGTTTGATTTTTGGTTCTCAATGGGCACTTGACGGACTTCGCAGCGAGGAAAAGCCACCGATAAGAGGTGAAAATAGTTGGGAAAACTTGGTCAACTGGCCAGTTAGCCGCGAGTTTTCCCAACGAGAGGTCGGTCGCTGTTCAGAAATAATAAACTATTCGGTTAGTGATTTTGAAAAGCCAAAAATCTACTTATTAAGAAGTCAGAAGCTTAATAAGTTGTGAAGGAATCATTTTCGACCCCACAAATCATATATATTACTGATCAAAATCGTCAGCTGAATCGATCTAGCCATAATAGATCAAAAAATAAAATTTCTCAAATTTTTCAAAATTTGAACATTTTAGAAGGGGTTACATCATTAAAATTGTCAAAAATTAGAAAAATTTGAATTTTGTTAAATGTTTAATTTAGTATGCAGATTTATTAACCTAATAAAAACTAACATAGAAACACTTTCCCTTTTTGGTTTAGTTATGAGTTATTTAAGATTTGGTTTTTCAAACAAATGCTCATATAATATTATCGATTCAAATAGTGCAAATATTTCATCGATTTAGGCTTCAATATTATAATTTAAGGATATATTCAGCTTCAGCTCCCCGAAGTCAGTTTCCTTTATTGTTATGAAAGATTTTAAACCAACTGTTTTCTAAACAAAAATGTAGACTTAAAATTTTTCATAAAATCTTCCAACTAACTCGTCTTTTTTGTGGAACAGACTCTTGTATAACTATAAGGTTGAGTACAGCTGAAATCCCCAAGAATTGAGGCTCGCCTAGGTGGCGCCAGGGAATGCGGAAAATCAATTATTTTGATCGATTGCTTTTAAAAGATTCAAAGAGAGAACAGAAACAGAGCTTTTAAAACGCGTATTAGTTCAGGCAACGACCCAATTCAAGGTCACCATAGGGCTTCCCAAGGCTCATGTTCCTCACGTTTTGTTTCCAATTACCCATTCCACAGGTCTACTCACAATGGAAGACTGACCATGAATGTAATTTGTTCGTAAAGATAAGTAAAAGCTGACTGTATTACCTTTGGAGAACGAGGCTTTTAAAAATGGACCAAAGTGAAGCATCTGCTGCTGCCCCTGTGGCGTCACCAGTCACCTCAACGCCTGTGGCTGCACCGGCAGCTGTCGCTGCTCCTGTTGCTGCTCCAGTTGCTCCTCCTGTTGCTGATGCTCCAGTTGCTCCTCCTGTTGCTGATGCTCCAGTCGCCGCTGCTCCAATTGCCGCTGCTCCGGTTCCTGCAGCTCCAACCGCCGCTGCTTCTGTAGCCGCTGCTCCAGTCGCTGGTGCTCCAGTTGCCGCTGCTCCTGCCGCTGCTGCTCCAGTCGCTGCTGCTCCTGCCGCCGCTGCTCCAGTTGCCGCTGCTCCTGCCACTGCTCCTGCCGCTGCTGCTCCAGCCGCTGCTGCTCCTGCCGCCGCTGCTCCAGTTGCAGCTGCTCCAGTTGCCGCTGCTCCTTCCGCTGCTCCTACCGCTGCTGCTCCTGCCGCTCCTCCAGTCGCCGCTCCTCCAGTCGCCGCTCCTCCAGTCGCCGCTGCTCCAGTCGCTGCTGCTCCAGTTGCCGCTGTTCCTGCCGCTGCTCCTGCCGCTGCTCCTCCAGTCGTTGCTGCTCCAGTTGCCGCTGCTCCTGCCGCTGCTCCTGCCGCTGCTGCTCCTGCCGCTGCTGCTCCTGCCGCCGCTGCTCCAGTTGCAGCTGCTCCAGGTGCCGCTGCTCCAGTCGCTGCTGCTCCTGCCGCCGCTGCTCCAGTTGCAGCTGCTCCAGTCGCTGCTGCTCCTGCCGCTGCTCCTGCCGTTGCTGCTCCTGCCGCCGCTGCTCCAGTTGCAGCTGCTCCAGTTGCCGCTGCTCCAGTCGCTGCTGCTCCAGTTGCAGCTGCTCCAGTTGCCGCTGCTCCAGTCGCTGCTGCTCCTGCCGCCGCTGCTCCAGTTGCAGCTGCTCCAGTTGCCGCTGCTCCTGCCGCTGCTGCTCCTGCCGCCGCTGCTCCAGTCGCTGCTGCTCCTGCCGCCGCTGCTCCAGGTGCAGGTGCTCCAGTTGCCGCTGCTCCTTCCGCTGCTCCTGCCGCTGCTGCTCCTGCCGCTGCTGCTCCTGCCGCCGCTGCTCCAGTCGTTGCTGCTCCTGCCGCCGCTGCTCCTGTTGCTGCTGCTCCTATTTCTGCTGAACCAGTGGTCGCTGCTCCAGTCGCTGCTGCTCCAGTCGGTGCTCCTCCAGTCGCAGCTGCTCCTGCCGCCGCTGCTCCTGTTGCTGCTGCTCCAGTTGCTGCTCCTGTTTCTGCTGAACAAGTGGTCGCTGCTCCAGTCGCTGCTGTTCCTGCCGCCACTGCTCCAGTTACCGCTGCTCCTGTTGCCGCACCTCCTGTAGCTAGTCCTCCTGTCGAAGCACCGGCAGCTGCACCTGCACCTGACACTGATGTTGCCCTTCCCGCGGATCCAGTTCCTTCTGATTCCACACTACCCGCTGCTGCTGCTCCACTTGACAGTCCTCCCGTCGCCACAGCTCCAATCACTGAAGATCCCTCAACTCCTGCCCCAGAAACTTTACAAGCTACTGTCTCTGTCGAGACACCGCCCACTGTTGAAGCAACACCTGCTGCTGCCACTTCCGTCAATGAAGTAACGGCTCTATCAGAGACCGCTCCTCCAGCTGTCTTAGACCCAGCTACAACGGCAACGGATGTCAATTTGGAGACTAATCCGCCCGTTTCAAGCGAAGCTCATACACCTCCAGTTAATGTCGTTGATGCCCCTCCTGTCAACTCGGAAGCAGAAACAGTATCCGTGCCTCCTTGCGAACCCATAGTTGAACCAGTTACGGAGGCTAAAGTTCCCGAACCGGTGGTTGCTCCAAAGGAAGCTGTTGCTCCGCCGGCAGCAGAAGTTCCAGCACCAATATCCGAAGAACTCACTGCCACAGCGGAAGCCTCACCACCAGTTCCGGAAACCGTTGAAGCCACCTCTGTTGAGGAATCCACAGCGGTTCCAGAAACTGTTCCAGAACAAATTCCTACCGCTGCAGAGGTCCCAGTTAGCGAGACTCCAGTTCCTGAGCCAACTGCAGAGACTTCCGCTCCAGTGGAGGAGATCATTCCAGAACCCGCTGCAGTCGACGCTTCCGCGATTAATCCTGAACCTGTTATCGAGGTAGCAGCAGTTGAACCTGTTGTTGAGGAAGTTGTTGCTACCCCGGCTCCAGTTGAGGATCGACCTAATCCAAACCCTGAAGAGCCAGTCACTATAGTCGAAGCGCCGGTACCTGTTCCTGAAGAAACTCCCATCCCCGATCCAGTCATAGCTGCCGAAACCACACCTGAAGCAATAGCGACAGAAACCCAAGATGTTCCTGCCACTGCTGATATTTCCGGCCAAGAGGCTACAGCTGCAGCTTCCGAGGAGGCAGTGATAGCAGCTCCAGAAGCAGATCCTAATGTAGAACCAACTCCTGCGGCAGAAGAAGCTGTTGCAGCAAGTGCACCTGCTCCGGAAGCAGAGCCTCCAGCTGCTGATCCAAATATAGGAACTGAAGTAATGGCTGGGGAACCCATTCCAGCTGCAGAAAGCATTAATGCACCAGAAACTCCAGCCATTATTGCTGAAGATCCTCCCCAAATTGTAACGGGTGCCGAGCCGGCAGAATCTGTTCCAGAAGCAGTTTCTGCCGTAGAGGTTCCTTCAGATGAACTTGCAGATCGATCAGCGGATCCAAACTCCGTTCCTGTGGCAAAGATAACACCTTTGTTGAGGGATCTCCAAACCACCGATGTCTCCCTCCTGGCCATTGCAGCCACCTTGGATGCCATTGGAGAGAAGCTGAAGGATCAAAAGGCTCGCAATCAGCAAGTAATGGACAGGCTATGCGAAATTGAGAAAATACTGGGTCCACCGAAAACGAATTAGATTAAACTGAGTTACATATGTTTTGTTCAGCTTCCTAGAAATGCTACCATATTACTGAATAAATAAATGATAAAAGTACGTAAATTGCTTTCCTTAATTTCCCGATGAGTTATAAGAAGAGAGATGAAAATACTTATTTAAAATATACTCTAAGCTTCTTCGATATATATATAAGTGTACCTTGCGGTGCATGATAAATGACTCTTTGGAAAATTCATGAAACCCAAATAAATCTACCACTCACAATTTTTGGGCACATTTGCACAACATGGCTCTTTTGAACTCCCTGGCCGCAGAAGCTAATTTGCCAGCAAGGCGAAAATTTCCACGACACAAATTAGCATTCCAAAAAAGGACAAAAGGCAGACAAAAACGACGCAGAGCTTGTGAGGTGAAAATGAATGAATTATTCCCCCCCTCTAATTCACTAGCCTTGCGTCAGCGGGAAAACAATAAATTTGTATTAACGGGAGAACTGGTGACTCTCGATAATTGAGAATTTATCAATGAATAATTTAATAGCAGCTAGCTCAGATGAAATTTCCACCCCTCTTAGAATCCATTTAAGACTGAGTCCCGAGGATTCAGTATTCACTTTGAACAAAGGATTGGGGCCGTGTTCGCATCCAAAGTCAAACGAGAGCCATAAAATGGAAACTTTTATTGCGGCAAACTGAAATTTGTGTTTATGGGGCAAGTAAGTCCGGGTAAGTCAAACACCTACGGCGATTATTCTAATCATTTGCATTGTTTCGGGCCTATCTCCCAGAGTTCTCCCCCAATCGGACGGCAGTAACATGTTCGACAGTTCAATCTAAATCTATAGGCCACTCGCATACGCAGTACACACAAAAACCGAAAAAGCCGGGCCGAAAACCCGAATTCCCATTTGACCGTTTTGTCTGGAAACAATAAAATGACCTCTCGCATACATAGCCGGACTCTCGTTCACATGCGGATCCCATAAATGTTGCAAATGGAGCAACAGAGTGGAGTTGTCATGCCGAGGATGCGATGTCTGCTCCACAGGACCAAAACAACAGAGGAGAAGCAGCAGCAGAGGCAACAAAAAACGAATTTCCTTTTTTAGACTTTTTGGCACTTTTGGGGCCTGGCCTGGACGGTCTCCTGCGACTGAGATGAAGGTTACACAACCTAACCGCATTAATGCCCAGCACACAGAGCAACTCGGGCCGGAGTCGGGTAATTGTTGCCTGGAGGATTTGCAAAAAGATTTTCACTGTCATTTGAACTGCGTTTAAGGCTTCATTTACTGCTCCACCCACCCCAACTGATATAAATGCCATTTACCCTGCTTAAATTGAAATGATCCCAGCTGCTATTTGATACGGAATGTTATTCCAAAACTGTTTCATAATTGGCATAGTTATCTTTGATCCAAGATGAACTCTATTAAATTCCATAGATGCCTTCAGTAGCACACTCAGGTAAATTATTGTTTCTCCTTAAAGGTGTTTGCAGGGGCTTAAATCATTTGGGATGTAAGTCTAATTTAGAGGGATTTACTTTTCTTGAATGTAAACTTTCAAGTACGTTTTTTCGAGTGTAGGGAGCAACACTTCAGTTCAGGAGTTTGCTGTCGGTAACAGGGACAGTCGTTGACATTACCCAACTCCCTTTTGGGCTTGGGGGTGGGACTCCAGAGAGTGCCAAATCAATCAGCCGGCAATGCATAAATGACACAGTCAGGTCCTGGCTTATAGTACTCCCTCATATGCGACATTGTCCAGCTGTCATACACGACCATTGCGGCTAATGCGGTACGTCTCTTGTTGCTGCCCGATGTCCTTCACCTCCTCCATCCTGTATCCTGCATCCTGCTCATCCCCCAACTGGAGTAGCATTAGAATTATTCCTGTTTGAGCCCCAGAACCCTCCCCTGCCAGCCTGACATTAGCCAGACACCATGAATGCACCAAACTCCTGACAATGATGATGGTCCAGTGCTTGACTGGCTATAAATTTTGAATTAATTGGTGACTGCTGGACAGCTCGTCCTGAAATTTATGTTTTTCCAGACCGCCAGGCCTGTTCCTGGCCAGGGATTCAGGGAATCCTGGCTGTGATTTTCGGCAGTTATTAACGGCTCTCACTGGCAGGCAATTTGTTTTCCTGAAATCAGTGAAGTTAAAGTAAAGCCATGAGCATTTTTCATTAATGTATTTAAACAAGAAAGAAAACTTACTTCGAAAAGTTGAAGTTTATTGAAAGTTTGAAATTGAATAAATAAAAATATTTGAATTCAGTTAATAGATATTTTTATATGACAATTTTGAGACAATTCATAGTTTGAAAATCTCATAACTAAGCCAAAATTGCATTAATTTGAATTCGGAAAGCTTTCCTATGTTAGTTTTTAATAGCTTAATAAATCTGCATACTAAATTTACCAATTAAAAAAATTCTAATTTTTTTCAATTTTTGACAATTTTCATGATGTAACCCTTATGAAATTTTGCAATTTTGAAAAATTTAAAAAATTTATGTTTTGACCGGCCATGGCTAAATAGGTTCGCCTGTTGACTATGATCAAGAATATATATGATTTATAGGGTCGGAAACGACTCCTTCACTTTGTTAGAAGCTTCTGACTAAAATAATAATGCCCTGCAAAGTTATAAAGAATTACATTTAGACTATGTCTACAAAAAAGCGAAATACATCTTTGAATAATAATTGATCTTTAAGAATTTGATAACCTTTAGCTGCTTATTCCTTACCATTTCCTCTCAATGCCTAATGAAAACAATAGAGTCGAAGGAAAGCTTTTGTTTTCACTCCTTAACTAAATCGCTCTGTCTCTGCATCGTCTCAATCTATGCAGTTTTTATTAAGCTCTGGCGCCCAGGAGTATCTGTTTTCGATTTTAATTTGATTATCCTTTGTAGTCGGAGCAAGCGTTTGTCCGACTTAATCGCATTAATTCAGGCCACCCCATTTAAGCAGGCGCATTCTTAGCCCATTTTTTATCAGCTCCTTTGAGTAATTTTTTTAATTTTTTCTTTTTTTTTTGCCCAACCTTCAACAACTGTGATTAATGACTTGAGAGAGAAAAGTGAAAGGTGTGCAAAAGGCGAGGAGAAATTCATTTCCAAGGGTCTTGCATGATTGAGTTCTATTGAGTGAACTGCACAGCTAAGCTGGAAATTTTTCTTCATTCCAAGTGGCAGGGGTAATTCGTACTATTGTTTTTATATAGTTGAAAAAGAAGCCGAATTGCAATACGTAATTGCAACTCATATATGCCTGGGATTGAAATCGAACTTATTAGACAGGTAACTAACTATTTGAGCCCTGAAAAATAAGCATTATTATTTTAAAAATAGCTTAGTTATACCTTTTCAAATATAAAACATGAATTACTTTTATTAAATCCCCAATAGCGCTGCCCCCATGTCCGGATACAACCTTGTAATTGACTCTAGACATGTCTCTATTATTGTCAAATGTTTTTCGAATTATTATTTCAATTATTTTCATTTTCTGAAACACAATTAGCTGCGGGCCTTCCATTAATAACGGCGTAAGGCCGAACAAAGGAATATATGTATGTATGTAAAAATCGTTTTAATTTGCCAATGATTGTGGGTGTCCATGTGGGTGCTTCAATTATTTAACTGCATAAACAATAAAAGTATTCGCAGTTCGCAGAGTGTGTGTGTTTGGGGGCCCCATTAAAAAGTGAATGTGTCTTTTGCATACGAACATGCATATATGCAGCCATTGTTTCAGGGGCCTTTGTGGCTCGGCTTCTGGGATTGGATGGGAAATGGGAAATGGGAACAGGGAACTCCACTGATGGGCTGAGGGGGGCTGAGGGCCTGATGGGGCCTGGGTGGCTCCAGATCCGAAACTGTCAGCCACAGCGCTACGTAAGTAATTTCGCGCATATGTTACGTCGTGGGGCGGTGGGGTGGATTCAGGTTCGGCTTAAAGCCGCAGTTCGGCGTATTCATGGCTGCTGCACACGACAAATTGAATTTTATGCAAAAGCTTGCGTTTTTTCGTCAGTCCCCCTATTCCGGAAGTCCTTGCATTCCGTGGCGACATCTATGGCCTGTTCGTCTGCATTATAATTCGGTCCTTTGTTTTCCTTACCGCCTCCTCCTCGGTTATCCCTTGTGTTTTGCACTTTGCCACGGCATATCCGCCAAGATGCGGTTTTTTCCGGCAAACGGCTGCGGCTGTCCCACTTTCGCTCGTATCCCTTTCATCCGCTTTGTGAGTCGTCCTTTATTTTTTTTTTTCGGTCAGCATTGTGCAGGCGGCGCCGTTAATGAGGAATTATGTTATCGCACTGTTAAGCCGCAATAAACGGGCATCCTTTTCGTTGTAACCCTTCTTATCCCGTAATTGAGGTGGCTTAGGGTCCGCCTTTGATTTTATGCATTTAGCAACAAGGGAATTTGCATGAAAATTCAAGCTGAGTAATTTGCCTAAACCGTCCAATGCATAAAACATGCCTAATAACAATGGAGCAGTTTACGCGTGTAATTGCATTTGTATCGCTAACAGAGTCCTTTTGAGTTAACATCCTGTGCAACAGTGAACTCTCGCTTACAGCGTCGCGCGTTCTCTCACGCTGTTAATGCCTCATCGCTGTTAGACCCGAATATTGCGTATACGCCACCGAGCCGCTCGCTTCGGGTGACTTCGGGTGCGATTCCTTTGCCCCATGAAGCTGCCGTCGTGTGGCTTAGTTTCCCTTTAGCCGGTGCCAAGCGTGGTTCTTCTCTCGCTTCCTCAGACGAAACGATTGCCAGAAATGGTTAATAATCAAGTGAAGGGGATCTCTGATAAAACTTAGTGATCGGACTTTGATGGAATACAAAAAATACTGTGTAAAACAAGTTACCAAAAAGTAAAATTAACTGAAATACACTTCAAATTAAATTGGCAAAGTTAAATTATATACATGATTAATGAAATTTATGCGTGGTCTTGACTAAATAGTTTAGAAACTACAGAAATTTTCAAAATTACGTGACTTAGTGATGTTCTTCTTAAAAATATATATATAAAAGCATATTCCTATCTAAATGAACTCTTAATCACTAATCATATATGAAACTGCCACAATAATTGTATCAAAATAATCATATAAAACAATAAAGAATTGATGACACAGCCACAAAATTGAATGGCAATCGAAATAAACTGAATTACCAGACACAGGAATTTCCCGCTTTCCACGCCGTCGAGCATGGACCAACTGTGCAAGTGTTCGAACAGCAGATGGCCAAGGACCAAAAGGACTAAGCACCCAGACCCAGACCTAGACCCACACTAAGACCACGACCACGACCAAGACGGACAGCAGTCAAGAGTCGAGGATGCGGAATGCGAATAGAAATAGGAATTGCGTTAAATCATTTACACTTCCGCTGCTGTTTAGTTTGTGCAATCAATTTAATATTATTTGTGTTATCCAGGCTCCGGTCCAAGGTCCAACTCGTTCTGCTCCGCTTTGAGGCAGTACGGCCCAGTCGTCCGGAACATTACATTTGTTTAACATTTGAGTTAACGCTTCATTGGACTACCTACCACTCCACTGCCATTACTTATGTATGTATATGGACAGAGTGCCTGGCATTTCCCAGTCCGACTTTGACTCCGGAGCCCATCTGTTGGCAGAGACAAAACAGCATTTAAATCATTATTCCCGACCAGACCTGGCCGGCCCCGACCTACCTACACCTACAGCTACACCTACACCCACACTTACGTCTAGGCTAGCCATCGAGAATCCTTTCAATTCATCCTGCGCGTGTCCTGCATTTGTAAGTTGCTCGGTGGGCGTGTTCGCCCGGCTGGTTGGCTGCTGTACGGTTGCCGGATGGCCATATGTACTCCTTTTACGCCCCACTAAACACCCGCATAAATAAATTTCGTTAATGCCAAATAGTCTGGGGCGTAGAAGAAAGATGAGGTAACACAAGCAGCCGCAGCAGCCGAGTAGCAGGGAAACCGAGCCACGACGGCAACGGAGGTTGCCCAAAATGGAATTCCCAGCTCCGGCTTATACAACCACATATGCATGGTTGAGTTCCGGAAACCCATTTCGCCAGCATTCTGATGAAATTCATCGCAACCCAAGTCTCTAGAATTATATCTTATTTTATACCCTTGCAGAGAAGTATAATTTCAGTCAGAGCCTAGTAATCCAGCGAAGGTATCATTTCCGACCCTATAAATTATATATATTCTTGATCAGCATCAACAGCTGAATCAATCTAGCAATGTCCGACATAAGTTTAATTTTTTAAAAATTTTCAAAATTTTATAAGGGGTTACATCATTAAAATTGTCAAAAATTGGCAAAAAAATATAAATTCTTAGAATTTTAAAATGAGTATACAGATTAATTAACCTAATAAAAACTAACATAGGAACGATTTCCGAATTTAATTTAATGCTGTTTTGACTTAGTTATGAGATTTTTAAACTTTGATTTGTCGAAAAAAATTTCATTCAAATATATATACATAAATAATATCAATGCAAAGAATTCAAATATTAGATCCAAGAATTTACAACTAGCAAACTGCAAGGGTATACAAATTTCTATATACTTTGAAAATTACAAGATTTATCGAAAAATGTAATCTGCATTTTCACATTTTTGCTTTATTTATGTCTTGATTTATTGTCGATGAATTAAAAAGTCATTTTATTTGAAGCCTTTTTGTTGCCAAATACACTTTAGTGTGTGTGTGTATTTAGTCGCTTCCGAACTCCCTTAATGGCTTCCAGGCTGTATAATATTCTGCAAACTTTAGTTTCACTTTAATGTAAACTTCAAAGCAGCATTTAGAAGTTTAATTTCAGCAGTTTTTTACAACTCCCATACGAGTTAGAGCCCAAGGAAGTGGGAACACCTTGTTGAGGCCACTAATGCCAAAAGCACCCACATTGCCCACAGAAAACTTATACAAACATATCAAAAACAGGACATGGCGCAAAATGCCGGCCATAAACTGGGCCAAAAGGAGCCTGAGAATGTGGGGGGAGACTAGGACCTTAAACAAGGGATGGCACCCAGCTCGACGGGCACATTGTGGGAATATTTAAAATTGGCCACGTGTTGTTCTTGCCGCTTCAGCTTAGTTCGCTTACGACATTTTTACTTTGCTTTTAGTTATTTTAGATTGCCCAACAGGCTTACCGTGCGAGTGCTATTTGAAAATATGTTAACCCTGCGATTTTGTGTGCCGCGCGAGCAAGGACAAGATATCGCTGCAGTTCGTGTCAAGGCGTATACGCGATATTAACGGGAGCAGCAGCCGGAATCCGGCGAGGCAGCAGGGATAAATTTGCACAGGCTCCAGCGGCCCAGCGCCGCCAGTCGCCCAATGTGACCCAGTTAAGGCCAAAGGACTTTAGCTGGCCAAGGACCGCGAACCAAGGAACCGAATCGCGGAAGGCGAAACACGATACGCGTTACACGATACGCGGAACTCGGGACGATCCCAGAAAACAGACCGACGCGGAGCAAGGATTATCAATTTACTTGGCACTTTAATGGAGTTGGATGCCAGGATGCCGCGACGCCTGATCCGCACCGAGGTCCTCCGGCTGGCCCAGCTCCTTCTCATCCTCCTCCTCATCTGCCTGCCGGGTAAGCTGCGTCAAATATGAAATTATTTCTCACGATACATTTGTCGCATATTAAATGACTCGCTGCCGCGGCCAGAATCTTTTCTCGTGTTTTCTGCAAAAAACAATTTGATATGCGCGGCTTAAAAGCATTTTGCGGGCGAATTTAAGGCATGCCGTGTATCCTTGCCGTGTATCCTTGGCCTTTGTGCATATTTTAGCACAGACTGTCTGAGGTGGAGTGAAATGTGCGAAGGAAGGCGGGGCTTTGTTTGGGATTTTTTTTTTGTGCTCGGTTTGTCAGGGTCAATTTAAATTATGTTGGCATATTTGCTTAAGACCTTAAAAGCAGCCAGAATTTTGAGAAAATTTCTTTCAAGCTAAAGCTGGAAGAAAGCCTTTGTATAATATTTTAAAAATAATTTCCCTTACAAATTATTACGAGTTTAAAACGAAAGATATATATACTTTGAAGGGGTTCAGAAAGTACTACATTTCCTATATATTTACATTGAGAACTTCATTCCCAATAGCCAAAGGCAGTTGTTAGTTTCTCTCTCTTTTAAAATTTCGTCAACATGAACTAAAATCATATTTTTCGGTTGAGCGGTCTACCTTTTTCAATCAATCAAAGGTTTTCCAAAATTGCCAAGGATTTTTACCTTCCTTCTACTGCAATGTTCTACAGCAACAAAAAAGTAACATAAAAAAACAGGGGAAACAAGAGAGAGAAAGGTAATTAAAATCAAAACGGCAACATGAAAAGGTACAAATTGCTCAACTAAAAGTTAAAACTAAAGCATAACGAAAGTGACTCTCGACATTTTCATCAATGAACCAAACTCGATCAAACGCTGCACCGCTGCCCTTTCTGCCTCACCTCGGCCACCGAAATTTCTGTTTTCGCAATAGAAAAGTTCGGAAAACTGCAGCAACGACGCCCGCCCTCCTGGGGGATTTTATCCAACGAACTGTGGCAGGAGGAGGGGGCGGATGCTTTAAATTGTGTTAAAAGCCTGGAACTTTGCTATCCCTGCCACTCTTCCACCGCCGCTAACCCCATTTGTCGGTGCTTTGCTCTGCTCCAGAGCATCCCCCTCGCAAGCTGTTCGATTCTTTTGGCCATGAAAGTGACGGACGGAAACGCTCGAGGAGATTCAGCCAATTGAACGAGAAATAACAACAATCAGGGTAACAAGTGGTGTGGCTCTAGAGTCCCGGTTTGAGGTTTGAGGTAGGTGAAAAGTGGAAGAGCGAAAAAGTTAAAAAAAACTTTTACTTTTGTTTAATCAAATTCAGCTGCCCACTTGAGCATCATTGAATGCTTGTAACAGCCAGTAAAGTAACTCAGAGAAGCCGCTCCCCAAATAAACGACCGCATATCTGCCCTTTGTTTGGCTTTTCCAGTGGATAGCCTTGCGGTAGCGATAAGTTGCTCAAGTTTGGGTTATTTTCCCACGAGATACTTTCCACCGGCCGCCAAAATGGCACGCCCGACTTAAACGCTTAACAACAATTATTACACAAAGTTACGGCCCTCGGCCCACTCCCACGACACCTCCCCTTTGTGCTGTCATCATTATTTGGGCGAAAACTAGGCTGGCATTTTGATGAGAGAGTGTCCGGCCCGAGAGGAGAGTCCTCCTCGATCCTCTGCCACTCGAGGTGCTCAGGGGAGGGGCTGCGATTACGGCCAAGCGCCTTGGGGTTAAGCCAATTTCCACCACCACCACCACCACCATCATCAGCATCATAATCAGGTCCTGCATTAGGCTCATCATCCCGACAACATGCCCATCATAATTAGGAAAAGTGTCGAAATGTTGTCAGCCCGAGACGGACAGGAAGGAGGCGCTTCCAGGACATCACTCAGCCTGCACTGAAAGAATTTCTATAACTAATGGAGATAGATATTTAAAATGCATTATAAACAAACACTTGGAAGATGTAATTTAGTAAAGTCAAACAGAGAAGTTATTTCTGTTTCCTTGTTATATTTTACATTATATTAATTTCAAAACAATATACTTATACTCCTTATTTAAATTTAAAATCTCTTTATCAATATCCACTCCTGTAAGCTTTTCCAGTTTTAAATTGTAAAATTTTGTAGACCTATATCGACAGCCATTTGCTTACTTCCCAGATTTTCCGCATAGTTTTTCCTCTTGTCCCTCTTGTTTTTATTATTGTTGCCATAACAATAACAGAGCAGACAAACAAAAACAAGCAACTATGTAGCAATAACAAGACCGGGAAAACTTAGACATCGCCGAACTCAACTCGCTTCCGGCCGGGACGAGTGTAGAGCGGAAGTGGAAAGCGAAGGAGGGCGTTCAGAGGCGTTTGATTAAAACACTTTCGACTAAAAATGCCCGCGGGACCTGGGAGGATGACTGCTCGGTTAATTTTAGTGTAAGGCGGCAGCTCGGGTTTCCCATGCAGTCCCCAGCAGTGGCTTTCCTACGACGGCGAGTCAATGAAATTCTGCATGATGAGGCTCGTTTTATGTGTGAGAGTTTTTCCCCGCCCCGCAGCCAAGCTCATTACGCAAGTTTTTCCCCATCCGCTGGCAAGTGCTCGACTTGATTTTCATCCCACTCCATCTCCCTATCTGTTTGTGCCGCTTTTCCTTTATATATATGTATCCTTTTTTTATATTTTATTCTTGCGCACAATTTGTTTTTACAGTGGCGCGGCCGCAGAGGGGTCTGTGTTCGTGTCTGTTTTTACAACTTTTTAGTTTGCCACATCCCTCTCTGTCTGCGTTGTCGCGGAAAGATTAAGCAAATTTTTTAAGGGCTCCGCCAGTTGTGAGTCCCTTTGGTGGACCTCGGAATTTCCCTAATACCCCTATGCAGCGCTGCCCTAAATGATAATTTTCTCCCAAATAATTTCAGTTTATTATTTTGTTTTCATTTTTTCTTCGCACTGAGCCAGTACTTGAAGTGCCCAGTAATTCCGTTGTTTTATTGCACTTTTTTACGCTGTTTTGATTTGTTTCATCGCTGGCTGACACGCCTCCTTTTGTGCACCCAGCGCTCCATCAGTCCTTTTGCCGGAGATCCTTGACGGCAGCTGTTGGTTTTTATATTATCCATGGGCAAATGAGTCGAGCACTGACAGTGGGCTATAACAGGATACAAGAAATTATGATAATTTTGCAAAAATAAATCATTTTTCATGTTGAAAGGTGTACAACGCTGCGTATACTCAATAAACTTATAAATATATTACGTATACGCAGAGTGAACCAAATTTTAATTGTGCGTCGCGTCAAGAGAACAGTTATAAGCGCAAATTGTACACTTTTTTAATTACTTGAACTAATATTTTTACTAGAAGTAAAACAAAAAAAGGTTTACAAGGCCTTTTAAAGGGTTTCTCTTTTAAAGTTTAATTAAATTACCGCACTCCCCTGTGAAAAGATACAAAAAACTATAAAAATGTTGCGAAAATAAATCATTTTTTCATTGAAAAGGTGTACAACGTTGCGTATACTTAATATCACGTATACGCAGTGTAACTTAAAATGTTGGTTTAATTTTTTTAATTTTGCCTCTTAACAAGAGAACAATTATAAACGTTAAGTGTATAATTTTTTCCAATTAATTCAAGCTAATATTTTACTACAAACATAAAAAATAAATGTACAAGGCCATATTAAAGGGTTTTCATTTTCTCACTTTTAAGTGTAATTAAATTCTCACACTCTCCTATGAGAGGATACAAAAAATGATGAAAATGTTACGAAAATAGGCCATTTTTCGTGTGGAAAGGTGGACAACGCTGCGTATACTCAATATCACGTATACGCAGTGTGACACAAACTTTTATTTATAACATTTATATATAATTGTGAGACTCACCAAGAGAACAATTATAAGCCAAAGTGGTATACTAAAACTATAAAATATTGGTTTACAAGGCCTTATTAAAGGGTTTATATTTCATCACTTTAAAGTTTCATTAAATATTCCGCACACCCCTTGGAAATTCCTTGCCCACTGTGCTCGAAGGGAAATGGAATTTTTGTAACTTTATTATAATCAAGTTGGCTGCAGTGCATCATTAGTGCAGGCAATTAAAAAGTTTTTTATATGCAATCGCTTTATCTTTATTGCACGTACACGAAGCATAAACATAAAACATGATAACGCTTACACACGCACAACCTCTCTCTCTCTCTCTGTCTCTCTCTCTCTGTCTCTCTCTCTCTCTCTCTCTCTCTCTCTGAGAGAGGGAGGATGAGAGCAGGGGAACCCCATAGACAAAACATGCACGACTTAGCCGGGGCTCGTTATAAGAGGCTTCCAGAGTTTTGCATTTACGTTGAGCACGGTAAAATTACATTGAACTTGATTAGAAAATGGCGGGAGCGACCACATCCTTCGATTTCTCTGATATTTCCCTCGAGTTTTTCTTTTTCCAACTCAATCGCTGGTGAAGGGCACTCGATGATTGCCGCTATCTTTTGCTGTGCTTTTGTGCAATCCGTGATCTCTGTTCAATAGTTAATTAAAGTAACGATGCACTCCCTTTCGTAGATTAAAGTGGCTTTTGAAATAAAATAACTTTTGCACAGAGTTACTTTGCAAGTCTGTAGGTCTTAAAGTGACTGATTTAAAGAGTCCTATTTGAATTGAAATATTGTTGTAAACTATATTTTTATTAAACTTTCCGGTTTTGTACATCTAAGCTAATATTTTATAGTGGATGCTTGTACCAGTATAAGTAAATTTTAATTAAAATGAAAAGGCCAACCTTGGCTTGACTTCCTTATCAACAGAATGCCAACTACTTTGAGACCCTCAACCAACTCCCGCATCCTTGTGCTTTAACTTTCGCTCTCTCTCTCTCTGGTGCTGTTTCTATCTTTGACTTTTGGCAAAAGTTTCCAGCGAAATTTATGACGCCAATTTGCCAAATTTACGCGTTGCATGTGTATGGGAATCTGCAGGCAGCAATCTGCATTCAGGGGAAGCCCCGCAAAGCTCGCGAATCGTGTGTAAAAGTCACATAATTTATTGTCAATTTGCGAAAATATTTTATTGGGATTTTTGTTGTATAGCTGTACCTGTTCTTCGAGCTCTGCTCCAGTTCCCAAGACTACCAAACAATAGTTTTATGCCAATTATCAGCTTTTCGGCCGCCTCAGAAACTTTGGCTCGAAGTTGGCATTCGTAGCTCCGCCTCCTTCACACGAATCCACTCTGCGGGCCAAGTACATGCAAATCAATTCAAGTTCGTAATTAGCTAATTAATTTCACTTGCCATCGAAACTCATCTTAAACTTTCATCAACTTTGCGTAGAGACGGCAACGGCGGCGAGGGCAGCCGAAAAATTAAGATTAATTTATTGAACAAGAACGCCGGAGCCGTAAATCGTTTTAATTGTCGTAACGAGTATTCGGGATAAATGGGGATCGGGGCATTTGAAATATATCTAAGCCGCCGGGAAGGAGGCGACGGAGTGGTAAACACAACACTAAGTCATTAATTTCCACTCACAACCTATTCATTTTCCTTTTCTTCCCCCTCCTCCATTTTGCAGCCATCAGAGGGCAGGCGGAGGAGACATCAATATTAAACAGCAAAGGGACAAATGGACGGGCATTTCAAAGAACTCAATCAAGGCGCGAGGCATTAATTCCGGCGACAACGCAAATGGCCCGAATGGCGAACAAAGCCATCGCATTTGGGGCAACAATGGCTGCAGTTGCAGCCTCAATTCGCCCCACCAACAATGTGGCCATTAATAACATTAGCCACAATGGCGATCAGCGGCTGACCGCTGCCCTCGAGGCGAATCTGATTATGAGCAGTCGGAATATCCAGGAGCAGCACAGCTACAGAATCACGCATCACAACAATGCCACATCCCCGGCAGCCCCAGCAGCAGGAGCAGGAGCAGGAGCGGGAGCAGCAGCAGATGCGTCAGCAATAGGAGCCTCGGCAGTGGCAACAATCGCATTGAATGCAACAACAGCAACGGAGGCCCACCTAACAACAGAACCGGCAACAACAACGACAACAACGCGACGCACCACCCGCCGCCCGGTGGCAACAACCACGCTGAAGCCACCGCCAACAATAGATGATTACCAGACGATAATTAGCCAGGCCGGCACCCATGCCTATCTGCCATGCAATGTAAGTTGAGCAAACCATGTTACACTGAACGAATTTCCTTTGAGTTACATTCAATTTGCAATTAATTTATGAAACTCTTAACAACTATTGGTGAAAGACAGAGCCAGGAATGGGAAATGTTGTGCCATGAGAGCATTAACTTCAATTTATGATGCTTTTTTCCCCGTGTAAATTGCGTCCCAAAATTCCCTTCAATTAGCCTCCGGCTCTGATTGGATTTCACTGTTGAGCTCTGAATGGAAAATTGAGAATCCTGCCAAGCCGAATCAATGCCTCAGAGTTCCATGGAAGGCATAATTTGGTGGGGGGGGGGAGAGGAAATTTGAGAAAGATATGAGTGGAAAATTCTCTGAAAATTCAATCAGGCAAAACTCTTTCGTGCAGCTTTTTGTTTACTTAAAAATCCATCGGAGGGAAGTGTACCACGTCAATTTATGTTGGCTGTGAAAATATTTACCAAAGCATTTTTATTAATTATTGATAATTTATAATAAGCAGCTGATTAAACAGTTCTGCTCGGGTGGAAGGAAGTCTCGGTGGAGGAGGAGGAGGAGGTTGAACCCAAGGGATGTGGCATCGATTGGCACGACTTCCGCTTTTCCTTTTTTTTTTTAGCATTTTAGAGCTTTGAACTAATTTACGCTGGCCGCTGTCGGAACTGGGCGAAAACAAAACCGGAAATTGCCAATGCTGATGTCGATGCCACACCCTGACCTAAGGGCATACATAAGCAGCTGGATACACTCACAAAAATAATGAAATTATGAGTTCCAAGTACTTAAATCCTATTGTTGAATGTTGAAATAATGGGACATTTAGATTGTACTTTTTAGAAGCAAATATCTCATTTATTTTTACTTGGCAATTAACCCCAATTTCCCACCATTAATTGATCCCAGTGTAATAAAGAAAAACGAAGATGAGGATGCGGATGCGGAAGGAGCTGACGCTGAAGGAGACACATTTTTGTTTGCAGCTGCTCAAAAACGATGACCCAAATAGTTGGCACTATATACGCTTTATATGTACTTTATCCACTTATACATAAGTATGTACTCGTCCAGCATTTATGTTCGCACGCGGCTATGGCATCCGCTAATAACTCAGTTACGCGGTGCTCCTTGGCTCTGTGCCTGCTGCATCCGCTGGATGCATCCGCAAAAGGCACATCCGAGTCCGTATATCCGCCCATCCGCGCTTCGCATTGCAAATTATAATTGGCGCTGCTGGATGGTGCAGCTACTATTTACTGGTTGGTGTTTGGACAGGAAATTACTGGAACGGCGTGCAGCAGTAGTTGAAGTTGCAGAAATAAATATTCCGTCCAGCTGACAAACACAGATGCGAATATATTCCTTGAGAATCTTGTGCGGAACCAGTGAACCGAGAGCAAAAAACCGAGGGTGGCAGGGGTGCAAGTTAATTAAAGAACGCATCGGGAAAGGGTTTTATTTACTTACCTCTGATTTGATAAATTATTAAAAAGAAAACACACTCTGCGATTTATTCCAATTCATTTGCGACTGTGTTTGTTTTGGATTCAGTAAACAGGAAGGGAAAATTATTAAGGCTCTCATCTGTGAGTGGTCAGGTGTAATTTACTGAAATTTAATTCAATTAAACAAGTCACAAGCAAAGATTTTTATATAATTTCCGGCATTTGAATTCATAGAATTCTGACAATAAGTTATTTCCTGGTATATGTCTACATTTCCAAGGCTTCCGCTAGGGAAATAACTTTAGACTATAAATTCAAGAGATTCAAGAATATCATCGAGCAAAACTTCGATCTAAGACTAACATAAATATGCAAATTGTAGCCAAATACTATACATGATGTGAATAGCATAGCTACCCGGCGGGGATATGTTCCCTGAACCATGAATTTCCCCCTGCCAAAAATCGAAAAACAATCTACTATAAAATATTTATCAGATAATTTGATTCGTACACACATAGTCGATACCCCATATTCGCTGTTGGCTGTTGGCACAGCACGGCGCGGATATATTTATATGGCCGGAATAATCTTGAAATCTGCTTAAACCTAATCAATTAATAATACATTTTGAGACCGTGGGCGTCACAAAGAAACCAGCTGAAGGATACAAAATCCGGTGGGGCAAGGGACAAGGGAGAAGGCCAGGGGGGAACTGGAACCCACAAAAATGCTTTGCCTGCAAGCACTTGAAGATTTTTACCCAGAATCGACTCTGACTGACTGCTCCCTTCCCTCGCCCGCTGTCATTTCTGTCTTATTTTTCCCCAGCATTTTCTTTTTTTTTCGGCAAAGTCAGCGAAAAGTTTCCTCTCATTTTTTGTACTTTATTCCTTGTTGTGCTGTGTTATTTCGGTGAAGATATGAAAGCAGCAGGCACTTTGAGGTGTATTGTTGTGTGAAAAGAAAGAGGAAGACGTGGCCCAGTAGACGGAACACAGAGAAGGCAGAGGAGGGCGAAAAACGGCAAGAGAATCAACAAAATAAAAGAAATTATTTGCAAACAAGTTTAGACGAAAATTCGCAATGTTATGAGCAAACTTTGTTGTCTGCTCGACTGTGATGGAAAACGATGCTCACTCGGCGGAGTCTCAATCTGGAGCTGATGATGACGACAGCGACTGGCGGGTGGCAGGGCCACCAAACCAAATGGGGTCGCAGGAAGGGAGGAGGAAGTGGATATGGCCCCAACCAGACCCTATCACGGATGCGCCACAGTTTCGGCAAGTTTGAACTGCAGCTAAAACTAATTAACAATATTTAAATGGCAAACACTCGGGCGGGCATCTTGATAAGTGTCGACGTCCCATCACTTTATGGCGGATTTAAGCGCAATCTCCACAGGCGGGCGGCAAATTTAAATTAGCTAATGTCGGGCAGGAACCTGAGTGCGGACCCCAGTGCCAGGGCACACAGGGATATTTGTCAGCCGCAAGGACGAAAGCGAATGGCAGGAGAGACTTACTTACACTTGCCACGTACTCGAAAGTCCTGACTTGGCTGCCTGCCGAGCCTCCCAGCCTCCGACTCTTCCTCACTGGATAAGCATCTTCACTTAATACAGAGTATAATGTCGATGCTCAGCCCGATAATAATGTCCTTAGAGCCGGATACTCCATGGCCGTGGCTGCGGCGAAATTTAATAAACTCTCACCCCGCACAGTGGCTGCGATCGATTATATTTCCGATTTTATCCCAGATACCTGGCAAAAAGCATTCAATATGGAAATTTTGCCTGCTCATGTGTCTGCAGGGAAATGATTAATTAAATGAGCCAAGGGGAAGCAATTAAATTGGATGTCGGACATAAGGGAAAGATTCTATTGTAAAAAAAGTTAAATAGAAGGGAAAGAGCATGGAATTGTTGTTTATAATTATCATGCACAGTTTTATTACATTTACCCTTAATTAATAAATGTAAGAGTCATTCGAAAATATTCTTATTTTCAAGGGTGAAAAAATCTATAATACAAATTATAACCTTTTAGTTTCTAAAAGTGCTTCCATGCTAAATAAAACAAACTATAGTTGCGTAGTAAATCTCTGTTAGATATCCTTTTGAAGTGTAAAAGGATATACGATCCTGGAAAATTTTCTTTTGTGAAAGTGTGACACAATTCTCTCACCCCCGCAGGTGATAAACTCCCAAGTCCTGCACTCCTTCAGGGAGTTGATTCGTCGACGATGCGGAGACGTTCTTACTCATTTAAGGAGAGATAGTTTTTGACAGCACGTGCTCAACTGGCAATAACAGCCAGAACAAAAGGGGAAGCGTTTGTGGCCGGGTTGGCTCCATGTAAGGGTGAGCCCGCTTCCAGTGTCTGCCACTTCCTTGGCGACATTCACAACAACAATGGCGGCAACAACAAGCACATAAAACGCAAATGATTATAGTATCTAATCATGACGTTGTCGTCGTCGTCGTTGCTTCCCAGCTCCTCGTTGTCTGTGGCCCCGACACCCGACATTGTAGTTGATGACAGTGGTTCAAAGACAGTCATTTGGGGCAGTCACGACGACCAGTTACCACAATATTTACACTGAGAGAAGGAGGATGATATTCCTGTTTGCTCTGGGTCTGTGTAATTAGGTGGGGGAGGGAGGCTTTCTCTTATTGTGAATTCATATCCCCACACAAATATATGTACCTGATGGGCACACTTCCGTATCGATGACCAGCTACTTAATGTGTATTATTTTGTTTTCACTCGGAGACGAAGGACGAAGGCTGCCTGGGCAAATTGCCACTAAATTATTATTGCCATTATTGACACAAATGAATCGTCGTTTTGTTATCGTGATTGTTTACCGCCCCAGCTTCCCACTGGCCCCCCAAAAGTGTACACAGCTGAGGTAGAGCAGCGCAAACAAGGCACAGTTCTGCTGACATCATCATCCTGCCAATCCGCCTCGTTTTGACCAATCCTCCGGGGTGGGTCGGGCAGCTGGGATTTACTGTTTGAGTTGCTTTCAGCACGGGGATAATTGAATTAATTTTAAAAATGGAAACCCCAATTTCGAATCATTTCTCGATAAATGAAGGCAAACTTTGCTATCTCATTCGGACAGGTCAAGCAGCTGGTGAAGAAGCCGATATCCTGGCTGCGAATGCGGGACGGCCACATTCTCACCGTGGACCAGACCACCTTTATCGCGGATCAGCGCTTCCAGTCGGTCTTCTCGCCGAATCCAGAGCGTTGGTCACTGCAGATCAAATATGTGCAGCTCAAGGATGAGGGGACCTACGAGTGCCAGGTGTCCACGGAGCCCAAGGCCAGTGCCATTGTCCATCTGCGGATAGTCGGTGAGTATGGTTAGGGGAACACACAATTTGTAGCATACTTATTTGGGTAAGCAATGAGAAACGAATAAAGCCCTTACTTTGTTTAATTCAATCTTAGTTTAATTCTACTTTTCATATTAAATAACTTTGAAAACCATTTGAAGGCATTATTTTCCATTTTGTTTACTGAATATGTACTTCATTTAATTAAGGTTTTACCAAGGAAGTATAATATTTGGACTCTTTAAACCCTTCTGATTAAGTATGTTCATTTGAAAGGACTTTCCTTTGTACATAACTTTGTCAGTCCAGTCTTAGCCCCCTTAATTGACTGTCGGCGCATTCCGTTGACCTATTGGCCTTCGTTCGCCAAAATCGGATGCCAAAATCAAAACCGAAACCTAAACCCTTGACCACACCTATAAATCAGCAATGACAGGGACAATAAATCAATGACCGTTGCACTTTCGCGAGCAAACTTTGGAGCTGAATGTCGAGTCCCTGTCAATATGCCATATATGTACATGTATCTATCACTTTCTCTGTGTGTGTGTGTCCTTTGCAGAGCCCAAAACCGAATTAATTGGCGAGTCAACGCGACATGTGAAGGCCGGAAGTCAAGTGAAATTGCGTTGCATAATTAGCCAGGCTCTCGAGCCGCCGCTGTTCATTAATTGGTTTTACAATCAGAAGCAAATCTATTTGCATAATCGCCGCGGTTGGCGTACGGAAATTGAACGCATCGATCTGCCGCCGGAAGTGCCGACCACCACAACAACGACAACTTCTACAACGACAACCACAACGACGACCACGGAGGCGCCAACAACAAGCAGCTCGACAACAACAACAGCAGCAGGATCAACAGCATCAGCCGCACCCTCGGAGACATCGGTTAATGGTTTAGCAACCATAACACGTTCATATATTTTAGATGCCATATCGCAGAACGATGTAGCCGAGATGGGGGTCGGAGTGGCTGTCATCACCGAGACGACAAGCTCCCAGCTTACTGCCGATGTGGATGCCACATCTTTGTTGCTGGCAACAACACAGCCCACAATATCCACTGCAGCCGGAGTAACAGCAACGGCGTCGTCGACAGGTGACTTCTCAACGGCAGGTGCAGCAACAACAACAACAGCAGCCAGTAGCAGCACCTGGGCAACGAGCACTGTGGCAGCAACGACAGCGGCACCTTCAACAACAACCTTGCTGCCAAGCAGCAGTTTCATTAAACAGATAACAGTAAGTGGCTTACCGCATTCCAGCCTCCAGCCTCCAGCTCTCCCTTGTGTTTTCCCCACGCCTTTCCCTCCTCCCTCAAACGAGAGCATTTTCCCCCATTAAATGCCTTTTCATTACGCAAATTGGCGTGAATGCGAGGCAGGAAAAATAATTTTTATTAAATTTTTATTGTCAACGTTTGTCAAATTATAATTTTTAATACGGCCCCAGCAGTTTGCGTCTGACACACTCGATCTCGTCTGACGACTGTCTCGGCAACTGAATAATGTATTATGTTATTGAATACAGTTGAGCTTCCCTAATGCAAAACAAAAAAATATATATTTAAGGAGAATGTTGTGTTGCTTTAAATATTTCCAACTTTAAATTAATGAAAGCCTACTTCACTTTCCACCATTAATAAAAATCATAAATGGTTTTAATTCGATAAAGTATCTTGATATTATGTATAAAGTTAATGTAAAGAGACCGCTTTTAATATTCTTAGAATATTGACACTAACTTATTTGTGGTATGCCTATCTTTAGTTGAATTCCTAGAAACATTTCCAAAGAATTTATTTAAATGGAATAATTAGCAAATTGTTTGTGGCTTGTGGGGGTTTGAGTTCGGGAGGCTCAACTGTATTTGGCAGGTACCTGTGCGTGTCTGAGTGCGCTCTCATTATCTCATTGCAGACGGCTTCACTCATCATTCCGGCCGTAGTCAAACTGGATTCCGGCAACTACACGTGCAGCCCCTCGAACAGTGCGCCTCGCACCATTGTGCTCCATGTGCTGAATGGTAAGGAGTGGTTTTTGGGTGGTTTGTTGGGGGGTTGTGGGAGTGATGGAGGTAAGGTGGGGCTGTTTTAACTGTTTGTCTGTATGGCCGCGCAATTGAATTAAGTTTTCATTTAGCTTAATTGAATTTTATACGGATGCGTTTGTGTTTGGTTTGACTTTTGATTTCTGCGAAATATGCGCGCACAGTGGGCCGGGCACAAGGCGCACTTATGAATGGAAATGCCAAATTACCACAAACTGAAAGTATTGCAAAAAATGAAAAACAACAACCGAATGCGGAGCATTTAACTAATTTTTTGTTTCCTTCTTTTGATGCTCTGGCATGCCACCACCAGCCACTGTGCCGGCTATTTGAAAGGTTTTTATTTTGTTTACACAATTTCCTACAATGGCAAACACAATGCCAGCGAAACGAAACGAAATGAAACCAAAAACCAAACCAACAGAGGAGGCGGGCCGGCAAGGAGCGGTTGCAGTTTTATTGTTATCTCGAAATGGCCACAATTGCGTTATTTGCCCAATGTCCGCCAGGAGGGAGGCAGTGGGCAGCAGGAGCAGGGACATGGACATGGACAGGGACAGGGACAGGGACAGGGGCAGGGGCAGGGGCAGGGACAGGGACATTGTTGAGTACAAGGACCAAGGACGCTGACAACAATGACAGTGATGCGGAGGTAAATGTCCATGACGCTGGAGACGACGATGACTGACCTATAAATGTCGCAACGTAATGGTTAGCTATCTGTCCGGTTATCCATCTCGTCCGTCTCTATTTGTCATTTTGTACGTTTTACACAGAAAAAATCTCCATTTGTGTTTTCACTGTTAAAATTAGCATATTCTTACAAAAGAATTGGAACTATAAACGAAAGACAATAATAAAGAAATATGAATAAACTGCTTCTCCTTTAAATGTCCTTTCTTAGCAGTTTTCGAGGACTTCTTAAGTTCTGCAGTTGAATTCTCATAACTTGGAGTATGGAATAAAAATCAACTTTATTTAAGGACTTTGTTTTCTTCCTGTGCAGACTTGTTGCCCCAAATTTCGGCCTGCATTTAAATCGCTTGTCCATCGCTCCTATTTCTGATCCACTTCCTGTTCCTAGCTGTCAACTCCGACATGTGCTCCTCCATGAGCCCCTCTGTGAGCCTCCCTCCATGTGCTCATCCATGTCTGCGTTTGGCTGCTATTTGTTGCCTGTCGTTTTCCACTTAAATCACGCTACTTAAGGGCCCTTCGCCAGCTGACAATATGATTCGACCGTGCCGAGTGTCGGCTCAGAGCCGGCAAAACAAATGCTGTGCGATTGTGACTGATGACACCTGACGGGGGACAAGGACTCGCAGCATGATTTTTCGGGCAGACAGGTACAAGTTTGTTTTGTAACAGGCCGGGAGCTGGGAGCTGGGATCCTGGATTCGGGATCCCCGGACTGTGTCTGGGTTGAGTGACGATTGTCAGAGTACAAATAATGGCCGTAAAAACGACGACTGCCGGAGTGGTACTTGTGTCTAGGTCAGAAAGGGCAAACAATCGACAAAGAATATTTGCACGGATTTTAAAATTAAATTCACAATTTAATTTGCTGTGAAATGGCCGCATTGTGTGGATCATGACAAACAACATTTATAACACGGATTTAATGTATTTTTAATATTCGACTAATTGACGCAGATAAAGGAAAGGCTCACAGGCCACTTGCCACTCGCTTTTTGTGTTGCTATTTAAACGGCAAATGAGTGAAAACATGCTAAAGCCGAGGATAATGAAAAACAATGCTCCAGAGATATATGCGGGAGTTGGCAGGAGTGTGTGTGGGCTTGAGCCTGGCTGAGTGCCAGACAATAATGCAATTTCAGAATGAGAGAGAGCAGGCCTTTTTTTACATAATTTTAATAACATTTTCCACGAAGTCCACCCAAGTGCAAAAAGGTTAATAAACCTGCATGTCGATGCTGCGGCATTTTACTATTTTTTTTTATTTGGTTGCCACAACACCACGTCATGACAAATGATTATTAATAACTTAATGATATTATCATTTATTTATTCAGGGATTTTTATTTTAATTGCACTCCGCTCTGTGATTTATTAAATCAGCTAGCAATGGCAGTGGCACTGGGTCTGCCCTAGTTGGTGGCGTAATTAATTTGCTTATTGCTTGCACTTTGTGAAGTGGCAATGTCAGCGTGCGGTTGGCGGGCCTTAAATTCATTCAATTTTAATAATTTTAAATAAATAATTTTATGCATATTCTACAATCCCCCGGGGATTGGTAACTGATTCCGCAGACCGCAGGTCGTTTTAGTCTCATTTTCCGATGACTCGCAGGGTTTTGTTACCGCGTTGCTTTTGCCGGAGGAAACACGCAGTGGTTGTGGTAATTAGTACTCGGCTTAATAATGGAAAAGCTAGTGTTGCCAAAGCTTGTAATTATCTTGGCCTAATAGTGGTTAACTTGTCGACTACTTATATGGCAAGTGTTTTAAATAGAAAACCATCAAAATCTACTTGGGTTACAATTCACAATAAAAATTTACAAAACTTATATAGCTAGTAAAGAAATTGGGTATTAATCGATGAATTTATTAATATTTTTTTTGCAGTGCTTTATTATAAAGCCTGTTTGTCATGTGTTATTTAATATTTCCATTCAGATACATTTTCATTCAATTAATAGGCTTAATTTTAAGCCTTTCATGTAAGCCCCTGATCATTATTGATTTTTAAACTTCCACACATTGCCGAGTTGAGAGCATTTAATTAATTACTTTGCATTGTTTTGCCACTGGCTAATCAATATTTGGCCCTAATGAGCTGGCTGGGGATCGAGAGTGTGGGTCATCCGGGTTTATTTGCTCTGATACTTTCAGTTAATTTCGGGGCCATGTCGATACAAGTTCAATATTAGCTCAGTGCTTATTTCCCGCGAATGCCGCAAAAATCCATCAGCGATATTAGCCGTGCATGGAAATCGCGAATCACCCATATGAGTGTGTGCCGAACCGCACAAAAACATACACACAGCCACACCCACACACCTCGTATGACGTTCAATTTTTCAATAGAAATATTTAATTACAATGGGCACTTTATTTATCCAATCGAATGGAGAATGCAGTCGTGTCGGGTTGGATGTATTTTGCAGTCACAAAAATTGATTGTAATGGGTAGTACTGGGGTATTTTTAGAGTTTGTTGTTTTGAATTATCCAATCGAACTTTAGCTACCATGGCGGGAATAATGCTGGTGCCAAAAACCGCAGACTTCTGAACCCTGAGCTAACCCTTTTCATTTCCGCTCTGTGATCGGCAGGTGAATACTCAGCTTCGGCCATTAAGTCGGGCAGTGTCAGCTGGAGAGCGCTAATTGGATGTCACGGCTATTTGCACTGGCGTAGCGTTACGGCGCTTCTGACACTTTTGTGGATTATTAAATTTTCCCTGGCCAGAGGCATCTGCCAGCCGGGTGTGAAGAGAGTAGCCTGCACCGAAAACATCATCGACACCGCCGCCGCCACAGCGAGGACATCAAGGAGCTCAGGATCTGGCGGTGCCAGAGAAGGTGGACCCAAATCAAGGACGGTATCTATCCGAGTCAGCGGCTCAATTAGTGCCACCAAAGTGGCCGAGGACAAGACTTGAGTTGTCCCCGGTCTGGCGCCAAATAACTTGGATTTTACGATATAAAGGAGGCTATAAACTAAGATTTTACTCGATATAATTGCATACTAACACAGAGACAGGCGGACGCTTATCCACGGCAAATATTCATTCTTGGATAAACTTTATAAGCGTGCTCTCCAATTCATACTTCATTTCTTTCTGAGTGTCAGTGAGTGTTTATTGTGATTCTTCGGTTCAGGCATATCGCATACTTTGAGGATAACTCTGCAAGAATTGTGTAAATAGAATGCACAGAATTCTACATCAATTGGAATCAGTCATGGTTGTATCATACATAAGTTATCAAAGTAGTGAGCTAATAATAATTGGATTCCAGCTCAAAGTCGGAGAGTAAATTGTCACAGGAATTGCTAATTAATCGCGATTTTACAAAATAAACCCCAAAATAGCTGCGCTCATTAACACAACATCGATTCCCATTAATTTTCGGTTTCCTTAAGCTATAAATTGTAAATATGTATGTATATCTTATGAATACCCCTGATTTTCTAAGACTTAAAATAATCTTTACGCATATAGAATAATGATAAACGAATACCGAATAAATGTGTAAATAAGTGAGTGTTACTGCGTTCCATTCAAAATAAATAACCCAAGCAAGCCAAAAACCTAAATGTAAACTCTAGCTAGTATATAAAAGACTTACTACAATTTTAGATGCAGTCAGGCCGAGGAAAACCCCAGAAGAAAAGCCAAACTTAATCAACTAAATAAACAGAATTGTATGGAGTTGCTCCTACGTTGCGTATACTTGATTTGCAATATCAAATTTTAAGGGAATGCAAATGAAAAAAAAAAAAAATGAAATCGAAAATCTATTGAAATGAAATAAAACAAAGTGTTTGCAAATAATTCTTAAGCCATTACAAATAAGTGAAATACAAATAAATAAAATAAAATAAATAAAACTTCTTCAATGGAATCAAGTGGTTATTTATTCTATTTTGTTATTAAAATGGACTGGCCACGTACCAACAATTTAATTAATTAAAAGAGAGGGGAAGCCGTGTTTTTTCACCATTTTACACAAAATATTTTTGTTCCAAAATATGCATGCATATACAGGCTCCTTCGTCCTGGTCAGCCCACTCATATATTCAAACACCGCCTGAGAACTGTGGACAAGTTTGTTAAATATTCATTCATGGCTTAACCGCTGTCCACACACACGGAGAATTCCACACACAAAAAAAAGAAAAGCGAACAGTATGCAGATGGGACAGGAAAGGAAAGGAAGGAAGCGACTCAAATTATTCTCACCAAAAACGTGTTAAACTGATGCAGAGATGGGAGCTCGACAAAACCCACTGGATGACAGAATATTTCCAACCGTGGCTCAGCAGGCAACTTTTGGCAAAACGAATTCAGCAGTAATTTTCTGTGGTTATTGGGCAGGATGTGGGCGTGGCCATCCGGGCCGGGATACGGATAAATGAGTTTTGGTTTTGGCATTAGTTGCGCATTCATTGCAGCCGTCGATGATGCCGTTTTTGTGAATTTTAAATAAACTCTCTCATATTTAATTTAAGCGCATTTTATTAAGTGAAATGCACACGCCAGTTCTTTGTGCTTATATGCGGGAATGTATTTTAATTAACATTAACTGAGTTATAAAACGATATACTCTTTTTTCTTTATTAGAATGATTGCCGGCCAATTACTCAGCTTAATTGTCGGACCCTCCAGCCACCCCACCCCGTCTTTAAGTGCCACAAAATGTCCATTAGCTAACACAGATTTGGCCAGCTTAAAGAATTATTTCCATCTTGAAAGCTCTAGCGCTCCATTTAGTGTAAAGCATGAGAGTTTTCAAGGAAATTGTGAAAGCGCACAGACAGAGAGAGAGAGAGCAGGAAAATCAAAATGAAAATGAAAATGAAAATGAAAATGAAAATCGTTCGTGGCATTTGTTTCAACAAGCGTACGCAAAGTGGTTGACGACGAGCAGCAAAACCAGGGGACTGACGATGATGAGGAGGTGACGACCCCTGAGCGGTGAGATGAGCAAGAATATGGCATAAATCAGGCTGTATATGGAAACCAGGCAGCACCGCTGCTCTCTCCACTCCTCCACCTCCGTTGTCAGCCAATCATAGTTTTCACACTCTAGTTAACATCATTGTCACCGAGTTTCACTCACTCTCAGAGTGGAGGCAAAAAATTGGTTGACGTTTGCAGTTTGTCACCCTGTCTGCCTGCCTGCCTGCTCCTGCTCCTGCTCCTGATGCTGCTCCTGTTTCTGTCCCGTATTTGCTGCACAATTTTCCAACGAATCTACATGGCAGGGCAGGGGGGCATACTCTGCGTTTGTCATTTTTCCTTTTTTTAAATTTTACCACCGTTGACATTTAAGTTAATTTGCATACTGCCGCACAAAATTCGCCCAACGGCGGCGGTGGCTGGAAAAGGATGCCTACCCTGATTATGGCAATGATGGCAAGGAAATGGACCCTGAACTCCACGGCTGTCACAGTTCCCACCTATAGCCGCCCTTTTCCCTTTGTATCTGCCGGTATCTTTGTAAAAATTCCATATTTGCATTCTACTTTATGCTTTCCACCCCACCCACGCTCTATCTAGCCGAGTCAGTATTAAAAACTAAACGTTGGCCAATTACACAAAAAATTAACATACAATTCTCATTCAAAGAAATGCCAGAGTTTGCCGCCATCTTCATGTACAGTGGAAGGAAAAAGTGTGAGATGTGATGTATACCTTATAATAATTATTGTAAAAAAGGAAGGAAACTAACTTCGGGAAGTCGCAGTTGATTTATAGGATAGTATAAAAATCAATGATAACTAAGCTTAAAATATTGCATTCTATGCTAATTTGCTCAACAATTCAAAGTTTAAAAAACTCATAACTTAACAAAAATGCTTTGATTTCAATTCGGTAAGCTGTCCTATGTTAGTTTTTGTTAGATTTAAAAATCTGCACACTTTATATAAAGTTTTAGAAAATTCAAATTTTTATCGATTTTTGACAATTTTAATGATGTAACCCCTTATAAAATTTTCAAAATTTGAAAAAATTTCAAAAATGTATTTTTTGACCAGTCATGGCTAGATCGACTTGGCTTTTAATGCTGATCAAGAATATATATACTTTATAAGGTCGGAAATTACTTCTTCACTGCGTTTTAAGCTTCAAACTGAAGGGTATAATATAATACAACAAATTAAAGAAGGCTTAAATATTGCAGGTTAATATTTGTTTTAGTTAACTACAAAATGGGAATATGATAAGGGATACTATATATTATGTTCCTCACTGCTTTACGTTACGTGGTCCTCATGGTTTATATATCTGTGGCTGTTCTTTGAGGCTCCTCCTTTTGTTGTTATGTCCAGGCTGTCTGTCCTGCTGAATGTTGGTTATTTGCAGGCATGCAAATAAATGTAAAATAAAAACTAAAAAAATACAATTTAACGACAGTAAAGGGAATCTGTTGTCACCGCCCAAAAACTAAAGCTGTACGGTTTCCAGGAAACGTTAATTTGAGGGCTCCAAAAGAGTTTGAAATCTCTGGCAGTCGAGTGGCAATCTGCAGGCCCGTAAACCGCAGCTTGCTGAACTACGTGAACGTTGCATATTAATCAAATACGCTTCGCAGCAGCAGCGAGTTGTTGCAATTTGGCTGGATGTAGAGCGCCATAAAATATGCCAGCAGAAACCAAACAGTGCCCGCATCCTGCATACCCTAACCTCGTCCTCATGCTCATCCTCATCCACATCCTCATCCACATCCTCATCCTCATCTGCACCACCATTCCACACGCCACTTTACCGCCCAGCATCCGCTGGGGATCACACTTGTCTATGCGCGTTTAGCGCGATGGCTGCCACAGGGCTTCATGGCCGCGTTGCCACCCAGCTCGTGGCACCCAATTTCCGGTGCTTGCGTAAATACATTATGCAGCTTACAACTACTTAACGGGCGGCAAAGTGCGGGCAACTCGCGGCATAAAGTGGCAAATTCAAGGTGCAACTTTTGTCGATACAAGCTCCCGTTGCTGTTGCTATTGCTGTTGCGACTTCTCCTGCGACCGAGTCCTGGTCGCGTCTCGAAAGGATGCAATAAAAGCGCACAGCAAAACTGTAAAAAGGTGAAGATTACGCACTGAATAAGAATACGAGGCTTTCCGCTTGGGAAGGAGTGCACTGAGAGCTGGAAAAGACTTAGAAAACTTTTAAAATCCTTAAGGGACTTCTTAAACAAAAATTGTTATTTAAAGTGGGAGAAAAAATTGTGTTTTATTGTGCCACAAAACAAGCAAGAGATGGAGTAGTTAAAATTAAAGGTAAGGAATGCTTTAAAATCTTTCAACTGTAAGGGATTAATAAAGGTTTAGATAACTTTCTAGGATATGCATTGAAAATACCTTTAGAATGTTCATTGAACTAATTGTTTAAAATCATGTTGTTTACTTTTTATTTATTATTAACATGTAGAGCTCTATCTATTATTATTATATTACTTTTTTCTCAGTGCCCCAACATATGTGTGTGTCCCAAAGTTTTGCGAGAGAACTCGCACTCAACCTGAATCCAGACAGACACTTTGAGGCAACCCCCCATTCACATGACAAACATGTGTGATACGCCACTTGCACCCAGCCAGCAGCCATTTCCATCTGCATTTGCAACAACAGTTTTTCTTTGGCGGCACCTGCACCACCACCCCTCCTTGCCAGTGTCCCTTTCTGCACCTCATCGTCAAAAGCCACGCCCCCCACACACACTCACGCCCAACCGAAACGCTCGTCTGTCAGTGTGGCATACTCATGAAAGTTAAGGACTTGCATAACTTCTGGCATTTATGTGCGCTTTTCACCTGCTTGCCAACGGCTTCACCTACTTTCACACACCGCTTTCCCTCGGCGGCCGCCCGCTTTTCCATGCTTCATTACGCTAATGCCGTGTTTTCAAATTATTTTACATGTACCCCTGCCTCCCTTTGCTTCTGGTGACTATTTGTTGCATACTTAATGGGGAGAGGGGGAGTGCGATGATTAGCATGCAATAAACTAGTTTAGGTGCCGTGACATAGTTCCTGCCCGGGGCATTACTCATCCAAAGATAATCCGTGCTGGGATCAATGTTCTATATAATCTAAAGCATCGAAGGTAAATTATTGTAGCATGTGTACATAAATGTAAAAGTTAAATTTAATGTGTCTGTTAAATGGTCTAATTAATAATGTTGGTTGCAAGGAAGGATTTGAAGGATATTTATAGAATTCTGTTTAATGTATAACCTATATATTGCATTTTAAATTAATTACAAGCATTTCATTAAAAAGAAACACAATTTTAATCTTTTCAAGGTTGTAATAAACGATCGCTAACATTACTTATAATGGAAGCTCCACAACTCCCCCCCATTATCCATGTCCAGTTAATGCTTTGCCAGGTATTCGCTCAAGGCCTTTGGCACACAGAAAGCCATCTAATTAAACGCATAATAATTAAGATTGGATATCATCAAATTAATGAATGTCAAAAGCAAGTCTCTGCGGCAAAGGTGATGGCCAAGGTGGGCATATAACGACAGGTTGTTTGCTTTACATAATTATTTCATTAAGTGTTTTGTGTGAGCGTCTCTGAGGCCAAGAGACTCTGCGGAGCTAACAGTTGGGCTTACTGAGGGACCTTTTCACTTTTCCACTTTGGTAATTCCAGCATTTAACAAGTCGGAAAGCTGCAGACAACCCGCAGCACTCGCCTTGACCTCGGGCGTTGCCAAAACCGGTGGAGAGGATGCCAAGATGCCAAGATGCCGGGAAGCCAGGATGCTGGGATGTGTTGGGGCGATGTGGCGGAGCTCATTAACAAACATTAGTTGCAAATGT